ATTGTAGGGTTGAAGGTTTAGGGTTGGAGGTTTGAGTTTAGGTTGATGGTGTTAGGTTTCTGAGTTTAGGGTTCGGTTCATGGAGCTTTTAGGGCGGTTGCTATCAAGAGCGTTAAAGCTCTGGTTTAGCGTCTAGGGTTGAGGATGTAGGATTTGGAGTTTAGGATGCGTGGTTTGGAGTTCAGGGTTTAGGGAAACCCTAAACCCTAAACCCTAAACCCTAAACCCTAAGCCCTAAACCGTGGGGTCTTAGTGTGAAGGGCGGCCGTTGAGGGAGGTCACTGCTCACTTGTGCTTTGTTTTGGCACATTCTGAATTGAACCTGCGCTTAACAAATCGCATAAGTGCATCTACGCATTCCAGAATCTCAACTCCTGACACCGCACCCTCACCTCCGACGTTGCAGGCCCACTGCAACCCACAGCTACAGCTCAAACAAAGAAGCATACGCGTTTTCAGGAGGGCAAGCAGCAAGCTCGCTACCGACCTTACACTCATGCAAAGCCTATAGGTGCACTCCATCCTTGGCCTTACCGATGCCAGGATACACTGCAAGAAACTGAGATAACACACAAAATTGACACACCAAGTCCGCTTGCTGACCTCCCGAAGAAGGCGTCGCTAGGCAGTTGGATTGACTGAACGAAGCTCAACTACAGAATGTTCCCAAGTACACTTACCTACCCAGAATCCTCGTCAATCGCAAGTGCACATAGGCTTCGGGGAGAGGTGGCTGAGCACACCGAACCGAAGCCGAAACCGTAAACCCCAAACTCGGACAACCCCAACCCCTAAACTCTAAAGCCTAAACCCTATGAGCCCTCAGCCTCAAATGTAAGCCCTAAACCCTAAACTCTCCAAGCCCTAAGCCTTTACAAACCTTACGGGCTGCGAGGCCCTGTGTCTATTTGGGAACCTGGGTGCGGAGCCAGCGGTGGAAGCTTTCAGGCCGACACCTGGGCCTGCGGGGGGGGCCTCGGAGCGTTTGGGGGCTCGGGCCGTTCTAGGCGAGGCCTCTTCAGTGTGCACATTAGGTTCACGCTTCCAGGTCAAAACTTGCAATTCGTAAGATGGTTGCGTGGGGCGTTGTGAACTGAATAGGACATGATGCATGGGCTTGGGTGCCCCAGCTGTCTTGTCAAACGAGTTCGGCAACCTGTCCGGCCTTCTTGTAAAGCCTAAACTTGCAAGCCCTCGCCACGGACCCATGCAAAATTCCCGACGATACTGCAGACCGTCTTCATATGCGTACATACGGGTGCCCTCGATGTATCTTGGAACGACCAACCGATCTATCTATCGATCGGTCTATGTGTTTATCGATCTATGTACCTACCTATCTGTTTATCGATTTATCGATCGGTCTGTCTATCCATGCATCCGTCCATCCATCCATCCATCCATCCATCCATCCATCCATCCATCCATCCATCCATCCATCCATATGCAAACTCACACACGCACAAATACATGTGTGCATGTCGGTTTATGCGTGCAAGTAAAGTTGC